TGGATTCGCAGCAGGGCCAACAATTTGGGCACCAGGATCGGAGCTGATCGGCAGGCGTTGGCCACTATCTCTCGGACTTTTCGGATGTGCCATCTTCACTCTAGCATGCGCGGTTGCCAAAGACATACAGACCGTCATGATCTGCCGTTTCTTTGGTGGTCTGTTCTCGGCGAGTCCCATTTCAGTCGTTCCCGCCGTGTTTGCAGACTTGTTCAACAACACACAACGGGGTGCCGTCATGTCGATTTTCTGCATGGCGGTGTTTATCGGGCCCTTTTCGGCACCATTTGTGGGAGGCTTTATTGCAATGAGCTCCCTGAGTTGGCGGTGGATGATGTATATCTCTGCAATCATGGTCTTCCTAGGGTTTATCCTAGTCTTTGCCTTCCTTGACGAGACTTATGCTCCAGTAATCCTTGTCCGTAAGGCCGCTACCCTGCGCCGACAGACTCGGAATTGGGGCATCCATGCGAAGCAAGATGAAGTGGAAGTGGATCTCGCGGAGCTTCTGCGCAACAACTTTGCCCGACCCATTGTGATGTTGGTCACGGAGCCCATACTGCTTCTGGTCTCATTGTACATCTCCTTCGTCTATGGCCTAATTTATGCTCTGTTAGGCGCATACCCTGTTGTCTTCCAAGGCGTCTACGGAATGAGTGCTGGTCTCGGTGGACTTGCGTTTATGGGCCTCATCATAGGCGAACTTCTTGGCGGGGTTTATATCCTCTTGATACAGGGTTCATACAAGACGAAGCTGGCGGCAAACGGTGATAAGCCTATCCCAGAATGGCGCCTTGCGCCAGCGATTATCGGAGCCGTGTTGTTTGCGGGGGGATTGTTTTGGTGAGTACAATTATTGAACTTTATAACAATGCTTGGCGTTCTGAGCTAATAACAAACAGGTTCGGCTGGACCGGATACACTTCATCCATTCACTGGATTGCTCCTGTGGCTTCAGGGCTCCTCACCGGAGGGGGGATCTTTTTGATCTTCTTGCAGTGCTTCAATTACATCGTTGACTGCTATCCTTCGTTGTATGTTACCTTCCACGGTCGTCTCTCCTGTCGAAATGAATGACTAACCCAATTGGCAGGGCTGCATCTACTATTGCCGCGAACACGATATTGCGATCAGCTATTGGCTGCTCGTTCCCACTTTTCTCCCGGCAAATGATGGAGAACCTAGGAGTGCAATGGGCGGGTACAATGCTTGGATGTATCGCAATCGTCATGATTCCTATTCCTGTTCTGTTCAAGGTATACGGTCCATGGCTGCGAGAGAGAAGTAAATTGGCATGCTCGCCGGTTTACGATGTTGAAAAGAAACCTTACGATGTCTAATAGATATGAATTCATGTGAAAAAGCCCAATATACCCCAGTTTTATTTTGAATATGAGATCGAGATACATTTTATGATTGGAACGACTGAAATATATTCATAGGCTTGTTTGTCAGGCCGCAAGATTTTGCTTATCGCTCGGCAGATGACGTCACACCGTCAATCAATCAACAACCTGACGATTTTCCTCGGCTGCCTGGTTGAACCACTGGGATGCAAACTCGACAGTGCAATTGGGACCACCGATGTCGCACCACATAGTCTCGGTGCCCATTTTGGCCAGAGTATTCATTTCAGGTAAGATCTTGTCTTCGATGTACTCGTTAAGGGGCACATACCCGGTGTACGGAAGTGTTTCATTGGTGAAAGGATTGGTGGCGGCGTTTCCTATGGTTTGTCAATGGGATACCTAAAATTAATCGGCATTCGCGAATTCATACCTCCAGGCCAGGAAGAGAACCCGTATTTTTTGTAATCCGGATGAAACCATTCAGGCAGAGAGTAATATACCGCGCGATGCAGGTGCCGCTGGTGCTTCCTGGAGGCGTCGAATAGCTCCTGGATAGAGATTAGGAAAATATTAGGGATTACTTTGGTGAGTTCGTCTTACCTGGACTAAGTTTCGATGCGGTGCCATGGGAACAGAGGTCCTTCTTGGTGATATTCTCAGGGAGATGGAAAAGAGCGTATCCTTCATGATGCTTGCTGACTTGAACAAAGTAATTGGCACCGGCACCTGCGAAGAGATCGACCCACTCTTTGGGTTCCCATGCATCCGCTGTGAAATTTTGAATGAAATCATCATATACATACTCAGTCCCATATATCTCATTCTGGTAGTCATATACCTCGGTTGGGTCGCTTGAACCTTGGCTGAGCCACCACCAGTACCTACAATGTGTCAGCAGATGCTTCCCAGATAACAAATATTTCTTATGATTACCATTCAGCATAGTTTTCCTTCGATCTTGAGTTCCTCAGCCGGGTACTGAGTATATTCCCCAGGGGATGAAAATTCCGTATTTGGCATTATTATACCAGCTTGGGGCTTCATGGCTATAAACAGACTCATAGGTCGCTTTGTAGGGGCTGATGCCGTACGTAGCATTGAATGTATAGTTTCTGGGGTTCACATTGTCGCCCTTTATGACCACAGTGGCAGGTCCAGATTTTCTTGGCTTCACCCGATCGTGATTTTGCACACCGACCTCCACTATAGCTTGATCACCGGGCCTGAGGCGGTTAATCACTCCATCAGCTACTGTCTTTAGACTTGGCGACTCTATAAATTACAACATGAGTATCTCAACAACGGGTAGTCTATATGGATATGATATTTCCTTAAGGCCTGATGCTTTCGCTTTGAGCCAAATCTGGCTTAATCATAAGGAGTTGTGGTTCTTAGCCTTCAAGAGAGACACCGGAAAATCGACAGGCTGACCGGATGATAGCATAATCAAATGGCAAGGCCCTGCCAGAGCAGTCGGTCTATCTAGGATCTATGTGTCGGGACATCAGGACGTCAAAAATACCTAGGTCATGAGAAAGGAGAGTTTCTTAGGCTTCTCATACATTGAAGCAGTGCATTATAGTGGCTTGGCACGGATTAGTCCAGTGCGTACTCTGTCGAATCAACTTCTACTCGTCTCTTTCGACCTGTCTTCATTCAATATGGGCAAATTACGAGATTCCGATTTGCGTCTATGGCAGGTGGAGAGAAGGAGGTATTCTGACAGAATGTCGCAGCAGAGCGACGTCGACGTAAGTAAACTAAACAAATAGACCCATTGTTTCGTTTCTTTTCAGAACATCCAGTACTGAAGAGCTCGGTAGGTCAGAGGGAGAAAGAGGAGCGCGCAGCAACAGAGTCTCGTCCATTGCAGAAGGTTACAGGAAGGGGTTCCAAGTATATCCTATGGACTCATCACTGCAATTTTCAGCAGCCTTAACTCCGATACTGATCGCTCGAACGTTGCAATCAGCACTAACCACAGTAGTATCCAAGATATTTAGATGTAGAAGAGATTTATCTCTAAAAGATCTAATATCTTCCCAGGCGACATTGTGTTCATGAAAAATATCAGACGTGAACTTGTTATTTTCGCCTGTGATATCAGGCACCAATAGGTTAAAAAAGGTAAAAAGGATCCACCTCTAATCCGACCAATCACAACAATACCAAGCATTTCGCCCAAAAAGACATCGTATTTGCTCGTTACGGAGTACGGAGTACATATGTAGTACATACATATGCCTAGAGAATATGAGAATATGCATGGAGCATAATGACGCAGTCGAATACCCTGTCCGAATACTTCCCGAGCGCAATCCAACTTCGGATGGGCTTAATGCCGGTTTAGGAAGTGGGAGATGAATAGCCACGTGCGTATTTCTACTAACTTGAAATCATCGAAGTACTTCCGAGGTTTCAAGGTCGTTTCAGTGCCTGTCAGCGGCAATGACGCAATTCAACGTTGTACATGCTTCCATTATGAAAGGATGTCATTAGGTAGGTGGTATCGTGACAAGACCATGTGGCTTCTGAAGTTACAATTTCTACGGGGTGTAACCCCCGCAAATGTTACAATAATCTGCTGATTGTTTCTTCATATGTAAATAGATGTAGTATTACTTTAATATCCATTGAGTTTCCCATAAAACACAGTTTCCGATGGAGCCATCAAAACCTAATGTGAAGATCCCTCTTGGGTCGTATAGTCTGCTAGTCAGCTGCTGTATGGGGTTTTATTGCTGACATTTTTGTCCGAAAAGACACATTTGTATATACGTATGTCGTAGACAAAATATAAATCCTCCTTGCCATTCAGATCTCATGGTATAGCAATTTGACTTTGAGTTAATGTCCCTGCATAATAAATCATGGAAGTTGCTTGCTTAATTTGAACGTACCTTCTGTGATCTATACAAACGTTCGGAAAAAGTGATTGTTTGGTTCCTGGGTTACATTCGGGAGGTTACTGCTATAATGCCGATGAGGTAAGGTTCGGGGGATCTTGAGCATGTCTTCCGGTATTTTACTACGTCCATGTTGAATCACAAGGGCTTAGATATTTTACAAATTTGATCATTATGGATGACGGCAATGTATGACTTTGACCATTATAGTCTGAAGGAGAACCGAGTATCTAGAGTTGCGTCCATGTAAGAAAAGAGCAACGTTGGATACACATTGAAAATGACATTGGTAGTAACGACAGCTCTAACCCGCTTCAAGATGATCTTCCTACATTTTGATCTGTGAAGGGTCACCGGCACGTATAACTAGATAGAATTAGAGAACTACTACTACCATCGGAATCATCCGGCGGCCGCCCTGTACCCAATTGAAACAGAAAACCGCACAATAACCAGATCTTGTGGACAATAACGTACCCACCCAACGATTCTGTTGCCCCAAAGCTCTGTAACAACCACATGGTTCCTTGAACATAACGCCTTAATTGGGCTCGGAGAGATAACTAGCGAATATCACACTCATCATTCTAATGATTAGACTTCGTAGGTCAGCTGCGAGAACTTCCGAGTCATCGGGGGAATGAAAGGAATATTTAAAGATGTGAGACGTACGCAACACACATATAGATACCTAAACCAGAATCCAAAATATTGACCCAAGGTGAAGTAAGAGAACTTACAAACCATGACGAAGATACGGTTCATTTTGGGCGCGATTACTTTACTATCTACGATAGTTCATGCATTGTCTACGGGGAACCATGGCATACGTCGTGCCAAAAGACAGGACTCGACAGACCGACTGGTCTTTGCGCACTTTATGGTAAATATACCCTCGAGTGCCTTATTTGTATGGGAATATACTGACCATGTAAAAGATTGGAATCGTCAGCAACAGAAACAGCGCGTCGGACTATGATGACGACATGAAACGGGCTAAGTCTCTGGGGATTGACGCATTCGCTCTGAACATTGGCGTCGACCCCTATACTGATCAACAACTCCAATTTGCATATGACTCAGCTGCCAACAATGACATGAAGGTCTTCCTGTCATTCGATTTCAATTGGTGGCATACTGATCAGGCTACCGCAGTGGGCCAGAAAGTTGCCCAGTATGCTAGCAAGCCTGCACAACTTCTCGTTGACGACAAGGTATTCGTTTCATCCTTCGCCGGAGATGGAATAGATGTTGCAGCATTGCGAGCTGCAGCTGGCAAATCGATCTTTTTCGCGCCCAATTTCCACCCATCCACTGGGACGGATATCTCACCAGTTGATGGCCTCTTAAATTGGATGGCATGGCCAAATAACGGAAACAACAAAGCCCCAACTGCAGATAAAAATATTTCCGTCGCCGACGGAGATAAAGAATATGTCGACGCCCTTGGCGGAAAAGCTTATATTGCCCGTCAGTTTCATTTCCATTGACATTAAAATTGACTTTCTGACTCTGAAGCAGCTGTATCCCCGTGGTTTTTCACGCATTTCGGATCCGAAGTTTCTTACAGCAAAAATTGGAACTTCCCATCTGATCTCCTGTGGTTCAACAGATGGAATGAGATTCTTGAGTTGAAACCGCGATTTATCGAGATTGTGACATGGAATGACTACGGAGAGTCTCATTACATTGGTCCTTTAAAATCACCGCATACTGACGACGGGGCCTCAAAATGGGTCAATGACATGTGAGAATGCCAAAACCACTCTTCAACCAACTCAACTAACCGATTCCTATAGGCCCCACGACGGATGGCTGGATATTTCAAAACCATACATCGCCGCCTTCAAAGCAGGCGAGTCGTCCCCCAACAATCGTATCTCATCTGATGAGTTGATCTACTGGTATAGACCTGCACCGCGTGGGGTGAACTGCGACTCCACAGACACTTGCATGGTACCAGCAAACAATGGGAGTGGAAACTATTTCATGGGTCGTCCAGATGGCTGGGAATCCATGGCCGACTCTGTCTTCGTTGTATCATTGCTTACATCCCCCGCCACGGTGGAGGTCAATAGCGGCGGGACTGTCCATAACTACGAAGCACCAGCCGGAGCAAGTGCAAAGGAGGTGCCAATGGGAGTTGGTGCACAAAGCTTCGCGGTCAATCGCGACGGGAAAACTGTTCTATCAGGGACCAGTTTGAAGGAGATCATCGACGGGTGCGTGTGCGGTTTGTATAACTTCAACGCCTACGGTAAGTGGAGATCTGACCATTGTGTATGACCCCGCTTTTAACTTTAGTGTAGTCGGAACGCTCCCGGCAGGATCGGACGATGCCCTCCAGCCAGAGGGGCTCTCTGCCTTTACACAGGGCCTGCGTGTCCAGACATGTCAACCGACCCCCTCGTTAGGTACAGTGCCTCCAGCTGCTCCGTCTTCGAGTAAGAGCACCATATTGCCAAGTTCTCCCCCGAGCACAACAACAGCCCCTGGGCCATGCTCTGCTATCCCGTCGACTGTCGTGACGACTGTTACAGTTACCGAGGCTATGACCGCACCGAACTCCACTCCTGCAACCCGAACTTGCGGCGGCGGCGGTGGAGGAGGTGGTAACGGTGGAGGTGGAAATGGCAGTGGAGGTACTGGAGGAGGCGGCGGCGGCGGCGGAGGAGGAGGAGGAGGAGGAGGAGGAGGGGGTGATAGTGCGGGTAGGGCCTGCGTTGCGGGAACAGGAACCAACAACTACAGTGGGTTGTGTTCGTTTTGTTGCAGCTATGGTTATTGTCCATCGGGACCCTGCACTTGTACGCGGTATGGAACTGCAGTCCCGCTTCCACCGTCAACCGGAGCTCATGGGGCACCTCTTATCGGCGAAGACAACTCATATCTGGGTCTTTGCAGTTTTGCATGTGATCATGGATATTGTCCCCCTACAGCCTGCAGAATAGCTTGAGGACGATTTATACAAGGGTTGAGGTGCAGTTGGCTCAATACATTATCGATATAGGGACCTAAAGTCGTGATAGTAGTTGTCAGAGATCGGCATATGTTCCAATTATATGATATGTCTGTCTGCTACGTGCTGAAACAATCCAAAGGCTTATATAGCTATTAGGTAAGATTAGAAACAGCCCTCAAGTACAAATTAGAACACTAAGCTTTATTAAACTAGACTTAGTAGCAATCTCTTTTGTGAATAGTCGGAAATATTAAATGGCAACGAACGCCAGGTAGGTAAAATTTGGGTGTCAAGCTCAATCAAAGTAACAATGCTATTAGAGCTTGAACTGCGGCACAGGCTAGTACGAGACTAGCAGGGCTTAACCTTCCAGCTGCACTCGCCGCGGGCGTGGTGGCCATGGCGGTATCAGCAGCAGTGGGTGATGCTGTGATCGTGGTAGGAGGAGCAGTAGGTGACGCTTCCATGGTGGTAGCAGCACCAGCACCAGCACCAGCAGCGGGTGATGCTTCGCTACCCGACACAATTTTGCTAGTATTTTGAGCAGTGGACCCAGCATCTGCTGTTGCTAAGACCGCATCAGCAGTGGAAGTTATTGTAACCGGCAACAGCGTTATCTGGTCCCAAGCGATGGTTGAGGTGCTGGTGCCGGGCGTGGCAGCACCTTTCCCGGTAACAGTGTCTGTACAAGTATAAGCCCCCATTGGGAGATCGGTCACATCGCAGACAACGTGATTGTATCTGTGTAATCGATGAGCAATCAATCGCAGCTTGCAGTAATGGTTGAGAGTTGAGTAAACGCACACATTGTCAGTTTCAGCACTTATCAAGTATTCGACACTAGTTGGGGCTGAGGTGAAAAATAGCCCAGGGCCCATACCACATTCTGTGCTATTGGTGCTGCCGGGTGGGCAATTGATGCTGAATGTAGTTGTTGCCGATTGCTATTTAGAATTCCGAGGTTAGTTGGATAATCGGGGTTTATTCCTAGTGATACGAACCGCTGCCAAAACTTCACCCAACAACGACTGAGGGTCGGCGTTTGGAATGAACAAAGAGACCACTGGATAGTCGACAGCAAGTCCCAGCGTTGCAAATGCTAGGAGAGCTTGCAAAATCATTATGTGCTGGTGTCTCTCCGTATATGCTGATTGAATACAGAACAACAGAAGATATTTGCCAGGCACCGGATTATTTGGAAAGATCAGGGGTCCTATATTAGAAGAATAAATTATATCTCTGATGGAGAAATTTATCATCATCATTTTCTAAACCTGTCGTGATGATGCGGGAACTTTTTGCGTGTTATTATATATCGTGATGATGAAAATTGCATGTCATACGGATCAAAGGCCGGCCAGAATAATCCTCATCTTACCATTCGATATTACAAATTGACGCTCAAGGCCAAGAAGAAGAAAGCTGACAATGAAAAGACCATGGTGTATAACTTTGTGATTCAAATCGGGACGTTGCTTCGTCGCCGCTCTCGTGAATGCGCCGCATGCTGAACATTCGTATGCACATATGTAACAGGAATATGCATACAATACCGTCATTATTACCACTCACGAATAGAGCCGTCCGGTCCATAGAACTCCTTGGGCTGCCAAGGCTCTGTTTCCTTGCTGATCTTCCGCACCATGTCTTCATCAATATCAATTCCCAAGCCGGGCTTAGGGGGGGCAGCGACATATCCCTCCTTGATATCAAAGACTGTCTTGTCCATCAAGTAGCTGTTCAGATCAATATCTCCAGCTTCAACGTTGTAGTGCATGCCCAGAGACATCTCTTGGATAACAAAGTTGGGTATCGACACGGCCACTTGGATGGAGGCTGCCAAGGCGATCGGACCCAGGGGACAATGAGGGGCGATAGCAACATCGTAAGCTTCGGCCATGTTTGAGATACGCATAGTTTCGGAGATACCCCCTGCGTGGGCAATATCAGGCTGTAGGACATCTACCGAGGAATCCTCCAAGAACCTCTTAATGTCCCACCTAGAGTATAAGCGCTCGCCGAATGCAATAGGTATCGTAGTCTGCTCGGAAAGTTGCTTGATTGCTTCAGGATGCTCGCACAGCAGAGGCTCTTCGATGAATAGAGGGTGGTAAGGTTCTAGTGCCTTGGCAAGTTGCTTCGCCATAGGTCTGTGCAAGCGACCGTGGAAGTCCAGACCGGCATCAAGACCCAAAGCCTTCACACGCTTCAATCGTTCCACGCAGGACTGTAGAACAGCGGGCGAGTCGAGCCAGTTGACATCTTCGGTGGCATTCATCTTGATGCACTTGAGGCCTTGGGTGATCCGTTCTTTCCTATAGACACAAGTTGTTATAAGATCGGTTTCTTCTATTGTCCTTTCATTTCAGGGAACTCACGCTGCAGCCTCAACATCACTTGGTCGGTCACCTCCAATCCAGGCATAAACCTGCACCTTCTGGCGCACCTTTCCACCCAGGAGCTCGTGGACTGGGACACCCAACTTTCGGCCCTTCAGATCCCACAAAGCGATGTCAATCCCCGACAGAGCTGACATGAATACCGGTCCACCCCGGTAGAACCCAAGCCGCCATATTGTCTGCCAAATGTGTTGAATGTCACTGTCGGAGACGGTCAGCGTTTTGGCTATGATGCAATACGACGAATTCAAGCATACTCCGCTTCATATCCCACAATTCGGGCGATAATTTCATCGAGTGCCCCTTCGACAGCAAGAGAATGTCCTTCCAATGTTCCCTCTCCCCAACCGAAGCGCCCTTCATCATCGGTAACTTTAACAAACAGCCAGCGGGGCTTGACACGGAAGTGCTCGATGGACTTGATCTTGGCCATGGGGAGTTATGGTATGAAATTCTCGGGTATTGTATGATCCCGGAGCAGGGAGCAACAGAATCCGGGATGCGACCAAATTATATTCACAGCTGGAGGTTCGCGACCTAACCCCACACCATAAACGCATCCCACGCGGGAATCTCGGGAGAAGTCCGGGCGGTTAAGCTGATTGCCGTGTATCACTTCCCCCACGTCGAGGGGGAGGGTTCAGTATATGAGCATCCTTTCCTTTGATGTGTTGATTGGTGGGAAAACTGCTGGCGCGAGGTGGGCCACTGCCATTTCATAAGAATCATATGGGCTATCATCTAAAGAGAATCTAAAATGACGTACAGAAACACATTGAAAAAGAAATCGCAAAGGAATATTAAAAACACATTAAAAATGATATAGTAGAATCTTAGTTACAGCATCTTTCATATCAACTTGATATTCCTACATATATATGTATACAATATGGATGCCAACATTCCTCGTCGCTCCTGCCACGCGCCTTCCATAATTTTACCGGCCTCTGTTGCTCTGAAATCAGTACACCTTCCCCCTAAAATCACGTCGGATCAGACATTTCACTTTCTCCTCCGATAGGCGCCATGGGCTGCTCCAAAATGACTCAATCACTCAACTTCACATCCATAGATGCTTGACATCCTCTTGATCATTGCACTGCACCGTTCAGGCTCGGCTCGGGCAAATCATACGCAAACCAATGAACAACTTGCCCAGGTGGGCTTTCGGGCTAGGCATGGCAGGTGTGTCTTCACGTTAGACTCACATATACCGATATCACGGTTATCAAGCTCACCGACAGGATGCAGTTTCTGAACGAACCTTTCGAGAGTACGACCGTCCAACGAGATCCGCTGACCCTGGGCAGCTCTTTCGGACGGGCGAGACAAGGATAGGCGACGATATTTTCCTTGATAGTCTATTCTCTGGTCTTATCCAAGGGTCACGACTGGCCCGCTCGTCTATTCGGATCCCCTCTGACGATCCTCACGAACCTAGCCTACCCGGCCCTGGGTTCGCTGCCATTGAGTTTACCCCGGTCAAGGCTTTGCGATCGAGACACTCGATGGAGTTTGTGGCTCAGCCATCCGGGAGAACGAGCAAAGAGTTCTGGGGTCCTTCCGCTACGCTCATTGGGCAGGCGTCGATCTAGTCAGCGATGATATGGAGACATGGTTTTATCTTTATCTGGCTTCGCGACCCCCAGCAGTCTAAGTTTGATTGCCTGTTCGCCAGCTGTATGCCATGACCACTCTGGCACTGATGCAGCTCAATGGCCGTGAGTTCCTCTACCCAGTGCATTCCAATGGCGTTGAGGGTAAATTCTGGATGGCTCCTTTCGACGGCTAGCACAAATCAACCGGGAAATCGATAAGGCCCATGAGAAGGAACTGGTGAAGGTATAGTGAATTATTGTCTGCGCAACCAACAAGTTGACAAGGGACAACACCGGAAAGGCCCCTTGCCTCAGAATGAGTTGATACAATTCACAAAAGGGGAGTTATTCGAACCAGCGCTGTTACCGGGCCAAGCACCAGATACTGTACCTGACCTGGTTATTGTTACACTCCGGAAATTTGCGTCTGAAGTGATTGGGACTATCGGATCGGTTGTGTCCGCTGGAGGTTGACTACCTTACGGCGGATCGCCGATTAGTGTGCTCTGGTTGCCCACCATCAAATCTCGAACGACTTGTACCAGCTTGGACCAAGTGGGGTTGAGTTCTTTACCCGGCTTGTGTTCTTTGGGGACATCATCTGCTCAACAAAGTTCCCCGAAGGCAGTATCCTTTTCTGGAGAAGGTTCCCGGAGAACAGATTTGGGATCCGGAAGAGTCTATCATTAGCCGAGAAAGCTCACGTATTCAGTGAATATAGCAGTGGCATTCGGATGTCCCGGTCGATTTCTATTCGGCTGGGAGATGCCGGCAAGCACAATATTCTCTATGACTGAAAACCCTTCTTGGGACGCATTACCGGACTCGAGACGTCCAAACCGTCAGCAGAAAGGCCTAATCACCATACCATCTACACACTGTGAGTAAGACCCTATGGCCTATTGGTGCGTTTACCTCTTTGAGCCAGAAAACCTCCATACAAATCCCAACCTTCGACGGCGCTTCCAATTTTTGGGACTTCATGAGCAACTTGATAAGGAGAGGCCGTCCAACTCTCGGCCCAGCCGCTGAAGCAAATTACCTCGGCTGCTACTGATGATACGGCCAAAAGCCGCATCAGTGGGAAAGTGAACTTGGTCGACTTTGAGGCGGTTGTGGACCTCGGCGCAGGAGAGCAAGTGACATCGCTCAATCTCGAGCTAGTTTCAATCTTTGGTGTCACCGGCATGTCCCAGTTCATCCATGGTAGATGATCAGGTACTCACCCGACTTCGCTCCTGTTCTTCAAAATATTTTTGCTAATCATGAGTTCCAATTCTCCACTGGTAAGTCTCTCTTACATGATTCAATTCTCATTCCTCGGGTATCAAAGAATGGCTCGTAGGGGCGATGCAAAGTCTCTTAATCAGGGTGACCTGGTCTACTAGAATTCAGAGCCGCGGCGTCGGGTTCATGGCAACTTCAGATGAAGTGATTTTACCAATCATAGTCCTGTTAATGAGTAGACACGTCCGTACATACATATATACGTTGTTTTGAAGTATAAGAGGCCAAGGCTGCTATATAACCCTGACACCCCATTCTCCGATGCGGGGAAGCCAAGTCTCAAAAAGACAATTCAGGCCATTTGTTCCTCAGAAAACATCGAACCAGGTTGATTTCCTCGTCTATAGATACATATGTAGGAGGCGTAAGGCTCCACAGAATCCCATATTCCCCGCATTAGAGAATGTGGATAAAAAGCGCCGGAGAAATTGCCCCGTCCCCAGAGCTTGGAGCTGTGAACCCCCACGCTCGGACAGATTCCTGAATCGTCAGTGCGGCTGGGTACATGAAAACTGGGGTCCTCATTTATGATGAGGATCTGCCAGTTGCAGTTGGCAATAGAGCGATATCCACGATGAAGCTCACCCGCCAGGAAATCAACCGACATAACAATCGGAAATCGTGTTGGGTTGCGATCCACGGGGCTGTCTACGATGTCACAGGTAGGAGACTGACAATCCCTGCAGGGCATTCGACCTCAGGCTGACGTCTGAAGACTTCTTGGACTCCCACCCAGGCGGCGCGATGGTGATTTTGCGATGTGCGGGTAAAGACGCAACTGACGATTTCGACTCTGTCCATTCGCTGGAGCTGTTGAGTGAAGCACTCCCTGAAACCGCGCTCGAAGGCTATATTGATCCTGCTGAATTTGATACGCCAGAAGACAAACCGGCTGCGATGTATGAGAAGCAATCAAAGCCAGCCGATGATGGTCTTCCGGTATTGCAGAGTCTTATCAATCTGCATGATTTTGAACGCGTTGCTCAGAGGCTGCCTGCCACAACATGGGCCTATTACTCATCCGGAGCCGATGACGAGATCAGCAAACTGAATAATGCCCTGGCATATCGAAAGATTTCCCTTCGCCCACGTGTCCTGCGAAAGATCCCGTCTGTGAATACAACCACCGCAATCTTAGGTTACTCTACCACGCTACCCGTATATGTCTCTCCAGTGGGTCTTGCAAAACTTGCCCATCCACAGGGAGAGTGTGCTATGGCAGCTGCAGCTGGTAAGGATGGACTGGTCCAAGTTCTCGCAAATGGATCCAGCATGCCGATTGAACAAGTCATGAAGAGTCGTACCTCACTGAACCAGCCCATTTTCCAACAACTATACGTGAACAAAGACATTCAAAAGTCTGTTGAGACTGTACAGCGAGCTGAAAGAGCTGGTGCTAGTGCTATTTGGATTACGGTCGACTCGCCCATGGTTGGGAAACGCGAGATGGACGAACGGCTCAATTTGAGGGTGACGGTATGTACTCTTCCCGGTAGATGCCATTGGACTTTCATTGTATTTACTAACGTGTTCCAGGCTACCGACGACAATGCAGAAGGACAGGGCGTAGCAAAGATCATGGCCAGCTCAATATCCCCTTTCATCGACTGGGAGATCCTCACATGGCTTCGCCAACTGACAGATCTCCCTGTTGTCATCAAGGGAATCCAATGTGTGGAGGACGCCGTCCTTGCCTATCAGCATGGTGTGCAAGGCATCGTACTCTCGAACCACGGAGGACGCTCCCAAGACACGTATGATATCTCCCAGCTATGACTCATTCAGGCTAGTGGTATGCTGACGTATATAAACAGGGCACAATCACCTCTTCTGACACTACTGGAGATTCGAAAGTTCGCGCCTCACTTGATGGAGAGCAAGTTGCAGATCTTTATTGATGGTGGCATTCGCCGAGGAACAGATGTACTCAAGGCTATTGCGCTAGGGGCAACTGCTGTCGGATTGGGGAGACCCTTTTTGTTCAGTTTGTCTGGATACGGTGAGAAGGGAGTGCGACGAATGATCGATATTCTACGACAGGAGATTGAAACAAATATGGTTTTTCTGGGAGTGAGCAGTCTGGAAGAGTTGAGACCCGAAATGGTGAATACCATTCGGTTGGAAAAACACTTGATAGCCAGCGTAAAGCTATAAATTGGATCACTGCCTTAGCCCCTTGCCCTTGAATAAATGCCCAAAAATACTACATCATGCCAATTACCACCTAATTGTCCGTGGAGAGTCCACCCCCACGCGGCCATCTTCCGATGCGGGGAACTTTGTAAGTCGAGTCTCAAAAGGAATGCAACATATAATTCCGTGCATTTGATACGCACTTGCTCCTACAAAATGGCGGACCAAATTGATGTCCTCGTATATGGATTGGGAGCGTAAGTTCAGCCTCTTTCACAAGAGGAACGTTGCACTGACTCCTGCAGGATTGGCTCCTTCTATGCCTTTATCTTGAGTCGCTCTGAGCGTGTGCAACTGACTGCCGTGGCACGTTCAAACTATGAAGCTATTCAAGCAAATGTGAGTATGTTAATGGGCGTCGGCTATTCCAGTATTAATATCTGGGCTCCGAAAGGGAATTACTATCAATAGCCAGAATCATGGCCAGAATACCTTTCATCCACACCGAGGTATGTGAGATATGCACGATTCAAATGGAATTGGTCTGCTGACAGCCCAACTAGTGGTGAAATCTGTCACGGACATTTCGCCAGTCGACTATATCGTGTGTGCTCACAAAGCAACCGATCAAGATGAGGTAGTAGCTCAGCTACAGCCAGCCATCCACAGCAGGACTACCATTGTAGTCATTCAGAATGGCGTTGGTAACGAGGAACCATTCCGCAAGCGGCTCCCTGACAACTCTATTATAACTTGTGTGGTGGGCTCTCTTCGCATCGTCAATTTTACGGTCTCATTCTAACTTCCACAGACGTGGGTAGGAGCCACGCAGACAAGCCCTGGAATTGTCGCACACACCAAATCCGAGGATATGCAGATCGGCTTATTTCCCAACCCCAAGGTCGAAAACCAAGTCGAGAAAGCACGCCTTGATACATTCGCCGATCTCCTCCGGAATGGCAAGACCCGGTTCCAGGTCCTTGAAGATATGCAGATCCAGCGATGGGAGAAGGTGGTTTGGAACGTAGCATGGAACTCGTTGACGACCCTGACGATGGTGGATACACAGTCGTGGTTGAAGTCTTCAGAAGATGCGACGCCTTTTACACGCCAATTGATGCAGGAGGTCATTAACATCGCCCGTGGCTGTGATGTTCCGCTGAAGGACGGTCTGATTGACCAGCTTATGGACAAAATCAATGCCATGCCCGGAATTGGAAGCAGCATGCAGACAGATTGTAAAAGTGGACGGCCAATGGAGATCGACGTTATATTGGGCTTCCCGGTGCGGAAATCTCGAGAACTCGGCATTCAAGCCCCCTTTTTGGAGACTTTGCACGTTCTTCTTCGGGCGGTTGATGGTCGACTCAGGGCCGCGCGGTAGAACAAAAAATGTGATATTTGATTTGGCTTTAGCTCTAGGGTGTAAGGCTCGCTATGGAAGCTAGGCAATGAATGTTGTACTTAATCCCACCAGGCTCAGATCAAAGCTATTTGAAGCATCCGTGATAGTCCAATGTACTCGAGACTAAGGTCAGTTGTCCGCTTCCCATGCGGCGGATGCCATCCGTACCACCATATATTATACCCTTTTCATCTTGCTTGACCTTGCTCGCGTCGAGTATAGAAGTAGCACCCAGGCGAGATAAGATATTCGACATATCGTGATAGTATATGAATGTAGATTTCTTGCCTGCCAGAGACCTTTCCCATGTAGGTGCCATACGAGACACTGTCTCTCCACATCGCCAGGCCCTAAACAGGGGACGATGTGAAAAAGGCGCTCCAGAGAATATACACATGGTTCCGAATTTTTTTTACAATGTAACGATGTGACGTCCCCGCTCATGACGTCCAAAATGCAAGTGAACAAAGCGAGGGCCCGCTCGCTTGTCCAGCGGTCTATCTGGGGAGGCTTATCAAAGTCAAAAACGCCCATATCCAAATGAATATATACCCTCGAAACATAATGTAGCGTATCCAAATCAAAAGAAAATTCGTAACACATAAAGGCAGGGTCATCAGGGTCGAGTAGGAGTGGGTGGCCTTGGGATCTCCTGTAGCTGAATTGAGGTGGTCTTATCAACCTCCACTGCTGTCTCATCGCCCGGGGTATCGGGAGGTTTGGCAGTCTCCGATTCCTGGTCGACGGCGAACCTCCATCGGTTATCGGCACCCATGAACATGCGGAAAGCATATCGTTTGTTCAGGGCTACAATATGAGCATGCCGTTCAGCACTGCTCCAGCTGTGTGTATTTGTAAAATCGTGCAGCATTTGGCTGTGCGAAATCCAGGGAATGACAGCTCCAATGGAACGTGGCATTCGGGGTCCCCGGAATCGGCCGCGTCGCGTTCCGAATACTAAAAGCACAACAACCGCGTCAAAGGCAATGATAGCTAGAGCGACAGCAAGTGACGGACCAGATGGAACCATTTGCCACGTAACGCGGGTAATGGTTGCATTTGTCGCTGGGACCGGGTGATCAAGAGGTTCAAGATAAATATCGCGCCAAATTGAGAAGTAGGTGCTATAGACCCATTGATATACAGTGCGAGTCATGTCGGTCAGAAGAGCGGGGTCGAGGGCGTCAAAGTCAGGATCTTCGCGTTCGTAGAGACGGGCAACAAGGAAGCCTGCCCAATCATAGGAAGAAATGTTGTATGTCCCATTCTGCATGCTAGTATTGCCTACAAAGCTGCTAGGAATAGCAGCAAAGACTTTGTTGAACTGACCGAGACTCACGGTTGCATTGTCGTACATGGTCCCATGGGTGATAGATGTTTGTGGAACAGGGTCATGCCGACTGATCTGTCCCTTCTGGTCGAAAGAGATAGAATAGTTTTGCAATGTTGCCTGGGGTTCACAATGCAATGCAATTGTGTTGTTATCCGTTATCGGGGTGTCCGGCAAATAATCCCAACGGCCGACAACTAGAACGGTCGACGTCTGGCAGATGTCCGATTCCTCGTCATCATCTGGGGACAGAAAGTGAATAGATAGCGAGATACCTTCCTGCTTGCTTTTCAAGAGTGGCATGCGCGCCACACATTCTATGGACGAATTGCCAAATAGTTCATATTGCCAATGTTGATGACCGTTGGCTTTATTATGGACAAGAGCGTTGGACGAAAGAGCCTCACACTTGAGCTCAGTTCCAACACCAAGCGTTGAAGCGCCGTAAGTCACATCTGGGTTGCGATTCGTCACATGCACTGGGACGAAAGACTGATATGGGCCAGTCCAAGACAGCATGGGAATTCCACTGCTGATACTGCTTTGAATCAAACCATACTCGGTGAATTCCTCGGCGAAGTCGGTCCCCCACAATATAGACTGGCTATAGTTCATTGATAAATCGCTGGTATCCAACGTTGAGGTCGTCAATTGCTGAGTAAAAAGCGCACCCGCAACAACAGTTAAAGCCATGTTAACAACGCACGCAATTGATACGAGGCCCAGCAAAGGTTGCCCGTTGCGAACGGCTTTGAAGAAAATGGCGAGCGGACTTTGAGACGAATAGTTCAGTAACAACGATGTCCTTGCCGAGGCGTTACCGCGTTGCAGGTGGACCCAAGGCTCCAAAACGCTGAGGTTCCGGTGAATGGAGGTACATAAAGCTCCCACGGACGATGCGACGACGGAGGGCAGGAAGGAAAGGACAACCTGGAACGAACTCGAGTCGGATTGGGTCAGGTGCCGGAAACGGCCATTTCGAAGCAAAGATGAAACCACTAGTCCAATGAGGATAATGACTGCAGCTAGCGCTAAGAATTCAATAAGAAAGAAAGGAATTAGGAGAAAGTGAGGCATCGGATCAACACGGGTTTGGACGTTCTCTCCAAGCTGGACAGGGGAGCCTAATTATACAGTCAGTAATAATTCTCCACGATGAATACGATTCCAACGGGAAGGGTGGTACAAACCATCTTCAGCGAGTATCTCTAGCCTATTGCCAGAAGGGCCGGGGCGCCAGTAACACCGAGCATTTTTGAAGATACGACGAAGCTGCCGAGTAGAGAATTGATGGAATTCCGCCACTGGCTCTGCAAGGATGTTGGACGGGTGAAAAATATCAGCGGCGATACTGCACATGGCACCGATGGACCCTGGGTCACTTTGGAGAAACAGCTCACGCGAACTATACATGTAAAGGAGGTACACCACAGTCAAAGTGGCTAGGGCAAGAATGAGCTCCGACCAAAGGGCCGCAAAGTCAACAACGGCGATAGCGACTTGGTTTGACAGGCGCTCGGCGGGAAGAATCCTTGGTACACTATCGGGATCAAACAGGCGACTGAATGTGAGCACGAAAGTCTGCTTGACATCCCGCGCAATCTTGGATTCAAAGTCGGTCTCTGTCATGACAGTCGATGTGTCGAGCACCAGCACAGGCTGGATATCTCCTAGTTCCTGGCTGATGATAGGGAGTTCAGTTACAGTGCGAGCCCCCGTGGTAGTATTTTCACTGATGAAGAGCATGTCACTGGTGAACGGAGCCCGTTCAGAGAGCAGAGCTTGGAAGTGTTCAATGTTGAACTCGGCTTCTGTGAGCGCACGGGTGGTGGCTCGATCGACTTCAATAGATATGATGGAGCTGTTGGCGTGCATGGCCACGCGAGCCTCCGCCTTCTTATATATGATATCACAGGCAAAGGCCATACCGGAGGCGGAATACTCGGTCGATGTCGATGTCGATGTCGATTTCGATTTCGGGATTGGACTGGTCATATTGACTCCGATGAGCATACCATATAGATCATACTGACTGCAGCCAAATTCCGTGAAGGCCTGGGTTCGGTCCGGAAATGATTCTCTGGCAGCAGCACTGATCATCGGCTCCCAATATCGTACTTGCAGGTAATCAGTGGTAGGAAAGAAGACACTCTCGTATTGAAAATCAAGGGCACATTTGGCGGATCCGTGTGCATCATTGAAATCAATACCACTGGCGTTCCATGAAATTGTTGGATATTCCGATTCGGGATCATGGACAGCAACGTTCAGCTTGTTCCCAACAGAAACATTCTGGCAGGAGAGCTGAGCCCAATACAGCGTCTGATCAAGAGTCCACGTTGTGCTCTCGTCCTGCTGACTATCCGGTATCTCCACGGGCGCCAAGGCGTATTTGGCGGATCGGGACCGGCCCAACAGGTCATCTGAGAAAATGATGTCGCCATCGGCTTGCGTTGCGATCCAGGTCGCTTGTGTGTTTAAATCCACAAGGTCGGGCCAGCTTTTTATGGTTCTGTTGTCCACCACCATCACCTCGCGTAGCTCAAATACCGTACTCTGAAGAGCGGGAAGAATCATTCGGATCGACAGCGTGACAAAGGAAACCCAGAACACGACCCAGTGACGGCGGATTGCAGCATTGATTGGGGTGATAATAGTTTGGCCGAAATTGTAGTTGATAAAGAGGACGGTCGCCGGCGCTCCCTCGGGTCGGGACAACTGAAAGTATGGTTCCAGGCGGAGGACATCGAAATCAGTCACAGTCCATACCAAGACGAGCACGAGGGAGATGATGATAGGGAGGTAATTGTAGGCAAAAGATTGGGCGCGGTTGACATCTTCCGTGTAGCTAAAAAAGACCAATCCCCCTTCGCGATCGCTGTACTGCCGCAACCCTTCCAGGCCCAGCAGCATCGTTAACATCAAACATATTAGGGAGATCAGGTATGGCGGGCGCAGAGCCACTGGGCGCCAACCTCGAGGTTGAGGGCGGACTGGGGGCAAACGAAAGGGGATGAAACGACCTAGTTCACATCTCCATTAGCGTATACTCGTATACTCTGTGAGGCTCAACGGAATGCGAAAGGGAAAGGGGTGTCAGCCGAGAACAACCACTCACCGATATGTCGTGCCCAGCGCCCTACCCCATCGCTACCGGACATGCTGGATGAGGTCCCGAAGGCGGACAATGTACTTGATACAATCGAAGCGCATTTCCAAATCAAGTTTCAACCACTCAAGAAGACTCTGCTGCAAACACAACAGGCCATGATTCCACAAAGGGGGTGAGAGACAAGGGTTCAAAGAGAGTAAGGAGAAAGGAACCACTAGTAAAGCCCGCAAAACCAGACGAAAAGAATGATCGACCCAAAGCCAAGAAATGGGCTGGATCTTGGACATGACGAAGGAGAAGGGGAGAATCGATTTTGTTGTGGCTGTGCCGTCTGCGCCTCCACACGTGGGGCAGATTAGTCCTCAATAAGACCCCGATCAACACACGATGTGGAGCACATATTCCGTATTGTTTCTATCGATCTGGAATTCTCCCATGTGAACACAAAGTCTAGCGTGAATTCAATTGATCTTCTAGTAATATATTCTGGTTGCGATCTAATAGAAATATCAATCATCGAGCCAGCCCGATTCAAATGAGCGACAATTAACCAGCGACGATTCAGAAAATATCTGTGAAAACCCGTATTTTCAAGAATGAACAACGGCCAAGTTCTACGGTTCAAATATCTAGCAATCATTGTGAAAACAAATGACCAGCATTCAGACCAGAGGACGGCCAGATGATGATGTGATACCAGACGAAAAAGCAGAGCCGGGAGGAGAAGCAACACCAGAAGAGGAAGCAGCAACAGACGAGGAAGCGAAAGGACTGCCGTAAGGCTTAGGCAAGCCAGTTCCAAAGGGAGCTGTAGGAGTGGGAGTAGCAGTGGGGGTCAAGAGAGGAAGGGTCTGGTTGGCGCGTTTCTGGGCACCCGCAGAGGCAATAGCACTGCCGATTGATTGGGCATCAGTCAGAAGAGACGGCAGGTCTGTGGGAATCGACAGAGACTCGCCGCGCTTCCGGGCTCCGGCGGAGGCCAGCGCAGCCGCAGCCGACTGAGCATCAGAAAGCAACGATGGGAGATCGGTAGGGATGGGAAGCGACTCGCCCCGCTTCTGGGCGCCCGCAGAGGCGATAGCACTGCTGATGGATTGGGCATCAGCCAGAAGAGATGGAAGGTCTGTGGAAATCGAGAGAGATTCGCCACGCTTCTGGGCGCCAGCGCCGAGAGAAGCGAGGGCCGCAGCCACTGACTGAGCATCGGAAGCCAGGGACGGGAGGTCCGTCGGGATGGAGATGGCCTCTCCGCGCTTCGCACCACTGCTGCTGGGGATAGACTCCGGGGTCAAAGGCCTAGATCCAGAAGACGGAATGGCAGAGGACGATGCTACCTCTGTGCTGAAGGCAGTGAAGAGGCTGGGGGAAGGCCGATCAGTTGACAGATGAACGGGAATCGACGCAGCAGAACGGTTGGATTCAATGTGAGTTCCGCTGGAGAACGGGGCACCGACGGTGGAGCCGGAAAGAGCGAGAGCAAGGGCGGCAAATGAGGTTTTCATTATGAAAAGGGATTGAAAAGAAGTAATGGAGTATTGAAGAATGAAAGATTGTCGGTCAACGAAACTCGCACAGCGAGGGAAGTTTGTAATGAAATAAAGATGATGGTATACAAGCAGGATCCCGTATCTGCTTGATGAAAAGAATTTAACGGACGGATTCCAGGGATTTTATATGTTTCGTAGGCCGTAGCAGAACGTCGATTCTCCAGAACAAACCGCCATTGCTAGTGTTCGTACGCGGTGGATCAGTTCCACATGCTTGTGTTCCCTATCTTGAGAACAGCTCTTGGCTGGTCGAGAACCGACGATCGCCAGATCTCGTCATCGGTTAGATCTATTCTGGAAGGGTTCGCGATATCCGAGCCCTGGCTGATAAACTTGATTGATGTTTCATGACGATCAACTACTCGGTTGGGCCTGGGTTGGAGTTGCCCTGGGGTATACCAGTGGTACACATAGGGCATGACCAACGGTAGAAACAGTCGCAAAATTGTAAAACACACAAGACTGCCGATCATCGGTTCATGGGAATGAGTTCATTCCAAGGTTATACCTCGCATCTCCACGACACCTGCGAATTAGAGCCGGATCAAAGTTTGGGCGTACACGTGGGACTTCCGATGTTCCCAAGGTTGGACTTATAGTGGGACCGATAGACGCATTTGGACGCATTTGGACGCATTTGGAATAAGCCCCGTGAATATGGGGAACTATTTGTGGAGAGAACATTGGCGGATCCAACGGTTCGCAGGGTGAGAAAATCGAGAAAATAGGGAGGATCCATCGTTTTAAATCGATACGGGCAGAGGCGTGAGAATTGGAGAATGAGGAATTTACATCCGTTGCTAAATAGGTCCGGTTCAGAATTTCTATGGTCGGGCCAATCTCCACTCTGATATTTGCCGGTTGAGTAGTCTGATCGGGGAAGCCCGCCAAGGTCCGATGGTTCAGCAACGGCATGCCGAATTTACGGACATAGGCCTCTCCATGCTGGACTTGAGTATGCAAGTATATGCATATTCGACTACTCCGTATATGGAGAGCCAATCATACCTAGGTACACGTTGGGTTGCGTCTCCTCTCGTGGTGTTGTATCCTATCTATCTGCCGTCAATATTGTGATGCGGATTCATGTCGCTATTATCGTTCCATAACTTTTTATATACTCGTACTTTTCTTCATGTCTATCGTTTGACGAGCCATAAATCGGAAGGAGAAGGAGAACTCTCAAGCCATATCTATGACGGGGACGCAGCAACAAGAGAAGCAAGCAAAGGTTTTGTTCGGTGTTCCTTTACAAGCAGCGGGAGTACTCCGTATATCCATATAGATCCGTAGACCTATGATTCACCGAAAGGTGCCAGTGATGTCACCACTTGATAGTCAAAGCGGAATCACCACGGTCTATAATTCCCAAGCAAGGCCCTTTCTCGCGCTGACCCTCTAGCAGCGAAGAGTGCAGAGAGTCGCAATCTGAAAAATCCGAGCTTGACCCACGAATGTTGGTACCTTTCTGGCCCGGAGATCGTGGCCAACGCGACTGTAGCCCTTGCTCGGCTACATGTGTTGGAAGAACAAACTATATCATTGACTTGATTGTGGAAGCAAAGAAGCAACGGAAAGAGGTAGCCTAACAGAATCATAGCAATAGGGTATAGCGGGACCTGTGTCATTAGCATAAAAAGGAAAAGAAAACGAACGGAAAATATGAGCATGAAACAAACTGTAAGAATTTATTTGAATAACGATCTCATAGCAAAGGTGTAGAACTCGAGCCACATATCATCAATATAAGCTTTTAACAGAAGAGGCCGAAACTAAACAACGGTATATCCTTTATCAAGCAGATGCTCAGCCGCGATAATAGAGCAACGATCCTTAAACACACCTGACGTATGGACGTAACGAAGGAATCCTAGAACTCTATTGTTCTTATCCTAAATAGCCGAGCCGCAAACTCCATCGACTATATCGCTAGCAGAGTCTTGACCAAGGTAGACCCAATGGCAACGAATCCAGACGGTAGGCTCGTGGGGATCGTCAGAGGGGATCCGAATAGAGGAGTGGGCCAGTCGCGACCCTTGGATAAAACCAGAGAATGGACTATCAAGGAAAATGCTGTCGCCTATCCTTGTCTCGCCCGCCCGAATGAAGTTACCGAGTTTGAACGGAGCACATGGGACGTCATTCAGAAACTGCATCCGGTCATTAAGCTTGACACAATGTTAGCGTTTGTGAGTTCGATGATGGGTTCTCCTATTTCCGGACCAAAGGCAGTAGAATGGTAAACCACACCCCCTTCAGGGAATCCATGTGAGCCAGCTGTCATGTACCTATGACCACTTGTGTCTTGAATAAGGACGCCGGAAGAAGTACGGAACTCTTCTCCCTGGGTGATTTTTGTCGAACTTAAAACCAGCCCTGGCCGGAGGGTCGGGTATTGCATATCATCAATGGCCGTATCATCAGTAGCAGCCGGGATAATTTGCTTCAGCGGCTGGGCCGAGAGTTAGACGGGTCTCTCCATTTCCGACTCAAAGAGGTAAAAGCAATTACATTGCGCAATCGACTTAGGAACTGCCTGCTAAACTTCGATGTTATCTGGTTCAGTTTCTAACACGATGACGACAAGGTGTCCCTGGATTGGATTTCCGTGATAGGAATGTTTGCTTCTGTAAAGAAATCTCGCACCAAGTCCAACATCAGATCGGCTGCTGCTTTGTTGTCTCTCAGATTAATGGTTTGGGAGAGGTGAATGTGAGAACGACTAAGGTGGCGGATAGGAATCAAAGGGCCTTTGTCGTGGGGATCGTTCGTAAGTAGCGAGGTACATGTGCAATCTGCTGAGGCCATGGCTTGGGTGGCAGTTCACCATCAAACGATAAACCAGCACTCGATCATCGCATTCAATTGCCCGGGTCTTTGGAAACACGTCGAAGAGTAGTTTTTTATTTTCAGTTCAAAGAATTCTAATGTATGTTCTTGAAGATCAAACGGCATTAATATCTGCCGAGAGGATGGCAAGGGACAAGAATTTTCCTCGTCTCGTGGGGGATCTATCTCACCTTGCGGGAGATGACCTTTGGACTGTAGTAATGGAAGCTCCATTCTGAGATGGAGTACGTGGATGTTCGTGTTGGTACGGAGTACTGTGGGTGGGCTACCCTGGAGGTTCACGTAGAGTCACGTCATGTGACTTCTTTCCTCATCGGTACATCTGTAGGTTGAGGTCATTATAACATCCGTGGATCCATGGATGGCTTTCTTATTTTGGTAGCCTTGTTGGTCTTTTTCGGTGGTCTTTTTCGGTGGTCTTTTTGGTGGTCTTTGCGGTGGTCCCCTATGTGTACCCTTGGGTAATTCCCCAGACCCGTCAATCCTTTATAGATTTCCATCCCTTAATCAGTGCTATGGCTAGCTGTCACGACCTGCGTACAACATAGACGTCGGTGAAATCCAGTGGAGTGGAGATGGCCCGAGGCCTTGGACTTGGCGGTCGGAGCTTTCCCCGAGACCTCTGACTCCGAGCTCCTCTTGTTACTCCTCACCTACCTCCAATCCCCCTCTTCCCCTCCTCAACTATGGGTATTTTCAGCAAATTGGTTAAGACCACCGTCGCCGGCAGTATTGCCTCGGTCGGTGTCTTCTGGGGCGCCACGCGCAATGACATTTTCGAGACCATGGACAGCTCCGATCCCATCTTCCAATCGGCCTTTTTCAAAAAGTTCAACCCGAGCGGCAACCCAACTCTTCATGATGTCTGCGTTCGTCGCATCCCGCTAGACAAGATCCAGCCCTCACTTATTGAGGAGAAGGGCAAGCTGGTGGAAGCGTTCTGTGCCGGTGTGTGGGGTGGCATGGGTAAGTCCTACACTGGGAAGCCAGCCTCGTCGCAATGGCACGAACTCTAACATGTTTATTTTCTCTCTAGGATACATTCCCCAGCGAGCCTTCCTTGAACGAAAGTACCGTGGCCCCGAAACTGCCGACCACCTCTGGGACCGATCAGACCTCCTCAAAAACAAATACGAAGTAGGAACCATCATCACCGACCACTTTGAAGTCGTCGAGAAGACGGAAGACCGCATTGTTGTTCGCTGCGGTGACTCCCCACGCATCCGTGAAGTCCGTCCCTCTGACGGCCTCTTCGAAATTGCTGCTGTGGTCAAGAGGGATCAAGGCGTGGCCGAATTCAGTCTGAAGAGCTGTTTCTACCAGGGTCTCGGGAAGGCGGAAGCTGCACCCATGGATGAAAAGGTGGCTTGGGCACACCGGCAGTATACTAAGTTGCTGCTGGAAACCGCCGTGCTGAAGAAGTGCGTCCAGTAAGGGGGAGTGGAGGGCCTCTCAACCGTCAGGAGACGAAATTTGTTGGCATACAAAGAACACCAAGTCTTCGGTTTGGACATGCCGTGTATATATTTCTCATGATATCTCGCTGATCGTAATCTGCAAGGATCTCAATGCTGGCTCAATCCGAACAAGCTGATCTGCAGTGTCAAATTTATTCCAAGATCCTTCTACTTTGCATATATTTTCCGTGGACGGCAAAATCTGCGCGCTTTCCTCTAACTTGGAGACTGGCATACAAAATTCAAGGCTTCACCACCTCTGCCTGGGTTCCTCCGTCTCTGGGAAGTCCTTCTCATTGACTGCTACTGTTTCTTTATCACTGGTCAGAGTGATAGCCAGGACAGTTGGGATAGCGATAACCAGCGAGCCCATGCAAAGTCCCCAGTTCATAGCGAATTGGGTCATCGCGGGTTTATTCATGGCATTGATGCGCCACGCCATTGCACCACCAGTGCTCTGGAAGGTCTTGTAAGCTCCAACCAGAACGGCTGCTGTGGCCGGGGAATTGGACTGGGCACCAACGAGCCAGTAGCAGAATGATTGCCACAACGCATCATAGGCGCCATAGAAGATGTAGAGGAACATCGGGCCCACTGAGATATCAGCGTCTGTGTAATCGATATCCTGCTTCAGGCCCTGCTCCAGACGGAGATCAGACCACACTTGGAACTTATAACCGCCACCCCAGATGGCCATTCCAGTGACAAACAAGAATCCCCAGGCGATGCGAGCGCGGTTGGGTCGGCTGACACCGGGAATATCGAGAATGAGACCCATGACGAGACCACCCAGCATCTGCGCTATCCAATAAAGCGAACCGTTGAGCGAACGCGTCCGGATGTTGAAGTTCATACCGTTCACAGCATTCTGCTGGTAGGAGTAGAATACATTGGCCGAGAAGAAAAGCGGCAGCATGCACAACACCCGCCAGTTGCAGATAGTCTGGAGGGAATGGCGAAGAATCTGGCGGAAGTTCTTGTCGCTCTCCGGTGTTACCTCCATCTGGGCAACTCTAACATACGATGGTGGACATATGAGCGTTCCCAGCACCCATCCGAAGGCCATGATGGTAAGCAAGGCAATATATGTTGCGTCGCTGACAGTTCCGCTCGTCGATTTAAAGTTGAGGCCGAAACTAGCGAGGGATCCGACGCCACCGCCAAGATTGAAGATAATCCAGAAAGCTGCGATTGCGCGACCTTTCTGAGATTCAGGCACATAGGTCGTCATGATGGCACCCTGCGCCACCCACAAGAATGATGCACCCACACCGAGAATGGCACCCGAGGCAATCACGAAGCCGCCGTTGCTGGTTGCTGTTGGAGTACACATTAGCTGCGCACACGACACACTGTAGCTTGGTAACTTAACATACCGTTGAAACATAGAAGACTACCGGAATACAATGCGTAGGTCCATCCTCCAAGCAGGAGACAGACTCTGGGTCCAACACGATCGAATATAGGGCCGACGACGAAAAGAGCAGTTCCCGCAGTACAAGCCAGAAGAGCTACATTCGCATTTGCAGCGACAGTCTGGTCAACTTGACCAGAACCTCCGAGACCGCTGAGGGCATTGTACATCTAGTACTATTGTTAGTTTACCTCGATTTGAACACTAGCCTTTGCCACACTCACTCCTGGACAGCAGAAACAAATGAAACTGATCAAGATAATCTGAAACCAAGAATTCGTCCAGATCCTGTATAAGGTCGAGCGGTTTTCATTGTGTTCAGTGCCTGTGGCGACATGCCCTTCTTCGACCGTTTCATTCGACATCCTGTGCGTGTGAAACCAAAAGCCCGGCGGGGGGGGATGACCGGGGTCTTATGTTAAAGGTTTCCAGCATTGCCGATATCTCGCCATGCCAGACTACAGTGGGTCAGCTTGTCGAGTTTGGGGCCCCACGCGATACGGGGCTTGAGTTGCACGCGAGAACAGGGGTTGTGTTATCGTACGGATATCATGTGGGGGATCTTTAGGGTATCGCCTGTGAAGTAGTAGCAAAAGTGGAGCAATCCCCAATCTTTGGATTGGGGATCCAATTCGTTATCACACGACCTTCTTTCTCGACGAATCCTGCGGGAGATAACTCCACTCAATCCTATATCGGCTCCTTCCGATCCCTTTCTGGGAAAAGTCTGGAGAAAAAGTGAAGATCCACCGTCGCTTGCCAACCGGCCCAATCCTACGCGGTCAAGGTTCCTTCGTTGCAACTCTACTCTGTAACGGGCCCCATTTGATCAGAACGCGGGATGTTTGTGGAACAAGGACCTCCTCTTCGCTTTACGTACATAATTCTGTCAGTTCCCGCATCGGCATCCACCTCGGGAAATGGGGCCATATTAGGTACTCGGCTTGCAGAGCGCCAACTAGAAATGGATCCAGCTTCGCCTCCGAAATCGTCTACAAAGCCCCCTTATCGCCCCTTTCCGCATAGTTCGATCCGTGACTCGCGAAGGGGAAAAAAACATTAAAAACTCTGACTGGAAACAGCGTCAAGCTTGTCATCCTCGAAGTGATCACCAAGAAACACCCTGCATAATGGATCTCGGGGGTCTATCTCAACTCCAAACGGAGGGGGTCAATCCCCGAACCGTGCATATCGATCGCATGCCGACACTTGACATGTGCACTGTGATCAATGCTGACGATCAAAAAGTCCCCGAGAGTGTTGTTCCTTGCTTGCCTGTTATTGCAGGAGCCATTGACGCACTGACCCCGCGAGTTCGACAAGGCGGCCGAGTAATTTATGCCGGCGCTGGCACCAGTGGAAGGTGAGTCATGTGAAATCCTGGTCCCCCAGTTATTTAACCCAAAAAAATTGAACACAAAATTCTAGACTTGGAATCTTGGATGCATCGGAAATTCCCCCGACATTCGCCGCCCCTCGTGGGCAGTTTGTCGGTCTGATTGCTGGTGGAGATGCCGCAATCCGATCGGCTCAGGAGGGAGCCGAGGATGATGAGAAAGCCGGCGAGGATGAGATGAAATCTCTGAATCTGAACCCAGAGCTTGATAGTATCATTGGAATTGCAAGTTCGGGTCGCACGCCTTATGTGCTTGGTTGTCTTGCTTTTGCTAAACGTCTCGGGTGTGTGACCATCGCAGTTGTTTGTACAGTCCCTTCGGCGATTGGGCTTTCAGGAAATGTGGACTTCGTCATTTCACCAGTGTCGGGGCCTGAAGTGATCACTGGTAGCACCCGTCTCAAGGCCGGTACTGTCACGAAGTTGGTGTTGAATATGCTAAGTACCGGCACTATGATTCGCACAGGAAAGACTTATGGAAACATGGTACGGTTGCGATTTCCACCTGACCGTTGTACTGCAACTAATGTTGGGGTTCAAGATGGTTGATCTCGTTGCCTCGAATTTGAAACTCGAGCAAAGATCGCGTAATATTCTGCGGAGGTTGAGTGGAAAGTGCCAATCCTCGTCCGACGCTGAATTGGACGCTCTTCTTGCAAAATGCAATGCTAGTGTCAAGCTCGCTATCTTGGTTGCAGAGACCGGGGAGTCGGTTGAGACTTGTCAGGGATACGTCGATGCTGCGGGTGGAGTGTTGGCCAACGCGCTGGCTGCCATCTCTAAGCCCATTGAACAGAAACCCACAAGTACCCCCACGCAAAGGTTTGCCTTGTGCATTGATGGCGGCGGTACGAAGTGCGCTGCTGTTGTGGCTGATGGCACCAACGTCGTGGGCCAGGGCTCTGCTGGCCCATGCAATCTGTATGAGATCTTCTCGTTACGGGTGTATCCCCTTTCTTTTTTATCTTGATGCTAACCTTGATCCAGAACCGACAGCATTGGAAATATAGACCGAGTCATTGCCACGTTACTTGATGCTGCTAAGGCTGCTCTGAAAGACACACTGCCAAGCGACATGGAACAAACAGAGCCTTCCTGGACAGAGCGTCTTCGAACATCCTTCAGCTCTGTCTGGATCGGAATGGCTGGTATTGACCGAGCTGGGCTGGAAGGAGTGCTAGCACCCAAGCTGAGACAAGCGCTCGGAATCACTAACGAGAAGAACCTCCAGTTAACCAACGACGTAGATCTGTTGACGGCGGGTGTTCCACAATCCCTCGGTACACCCTCCGTCCTGGTGGTGATCGCAGGCACTGGGAGTGTTGCCATGAGATACAAATGGTCCGAGGATCAGCAAAGATACGCTCGTTCTGCTCGTTCTGGAGGCTGGGGCCATATGCTCGGTGATCAGGGCGGTGGCTACACAATTGGTATGAAAGCTATCCAACACACCCTAGGAGTCTTCGAGGATATCACATTGGGGCTCGACAAAACTGGAGGCGACGAACTTTCCAAGGCGGTTGCGGAGAAACTGGGGTGTCGGGTGTCTGAGGGTGCCTGTGTCGACATGTTGGACAATATTCTGGCCCAGAACTATTCTCAAGGTGTAAAGGCACGCATTGCTAGTGTTGCACCGGTTGTTCTCGACTTGATGGACAAAAATGAGACCGCAGCAGCTATCGTGAGCTCTCAAGTAGCTTTGCTCGTTGGTGATACTCTTGGTCGTTTGGTGAAGCCTGAAGCCACTGGCTATCAGCCAAGTGAGGCCTCTGTATTGGTATTGGCAGGAGGATTGATGAAGAATGAGCGGTACAGGGCCACATTTGAGAAGGAACTGGACACACACAGCTTGTATTTCAGAGGAACGGTGGTTGTTGAAGATGCGGCACGTTCAGGCGCCATACATCTCAGTCGTTGAGTCTTGTTAGGCCACTCTTTCCAAAATCAATAAATATCTTTCACCTTTTTATGTTTCTTTCTGTATCCCTGTTCTTCTCTCTTTCTTCAATGTTTTCTCTGCTCAAATGCTGTATCTAGTGTTCTGTCTTTTTGAAATTCAAATACCCATCAATTTCTTCACTACCTGTTCTATTTCAAGATCGGAACCGCTTCAATCACCGACTCCATCGCCGGGCTCTGGTTCCAGATCCCCGTGATCTCCAACCCGGCGCTATGTAAGAGATCCCTCCACTGTCGTTCCGACCGTTCGACACCAGCTCCTATACTCATCATCTGAATATCCAGTGAAGCCTGCATCAGCGGCACATCGGTGTCTGGCAGGACGAAATCCACAATAAGAATTCGAGAATAGTCCGGCGCCATGGCTGACACCGTATTTTGGAGGATCCTCCGACTAATCTGGTCATCCCAGTCATGGAAGATAGAACGGAAGTAGTACGCCCTGGCACCTTTGACGGGTTGAGGATTCATGAAATTGAATCCCATCACCTTGATTCCTGCGCTCTCACCATCGACCCCCTCGATCACCTTTGGTAAATCCTGCAGCACCATTCTACCCGGCAGATGACCATATTCTCGCCGGAACTTGCCAAGGTCATGCCCCTGGTTGCCACCAATGTCTACCAGGAAGACCGTATCTTTGTATGGCACGGCATGGCCAAACAGCCGTTCGACGGGGTATATATCGTACCACATCGGTCTACCCTCCCGACGGCTAGCCATGTATGAGTTAAAGAGCTCCTGCTGCTCCTCGTGACATGAAAGCCACTCAAACTGACTCTGTCCAACGGCCCATTGCATAGGCGACTGAGTATAATCCTGAGGGTTGGCATAACCATGGGAGCGCAGGTACTCCGGAAACTTGCTCAAGGTTGGAAAGGTAAGATCATATCTAAACGAAAGGTCACTTAATAACGGCTCGAACAGATGCAAGGGTCCAAATCACATCACCAACATACATGCACGGGATTCCATCTCTCCCAATCGGCTGAGTCAGTGCAACCGTCTTCTCATTGGCAGCATAAAGCTCGGGGGTCGGTGTGATGCACAGCCCAAGAGAAGCCATAACGCGCATCAGTCGGACTATTCACGGAGTTAGGCAATCCACAATGTGTGAGGAACTACTGTCATTGCAGGAAAAGGTACCAATTAAATCTTGCTCGGCGCCCGTACATTCTGCCAGCTGAGCGGCTGAGAGTCCCGTTACTCTGTGTTCCTTCTCCACGAGTATGGCGAAAATGCCCAAATCGATGACAACGCGCAACGCAGCGTTTTGAGGAGGCTACAGTCCAGTCAGAACACACAAACTTGATTTTGGTCCGTGGAGCGCCTTACCTGGTAAATCAGACGCAACACGGTTTCTGTCGGCGTTTCCACTGCAGACCTGAGCTGGTCGATCATTCGCAATAGCTCGAAGTGGGCTTGTGGCGATGGCTCCGATGATTCTTTCAAGGCCATTTGGCCGAGACGGTTGACCAAACAATGAAAGGGCGTGGTGATCGTCATTGTCGCTGTTCAAGAAAAACAAAGCACCGATACTCAGTGTGGAATTATCTGCTTCGAGTTGCACAAGCTAGGATGAGGGAACTATTTGGCTGGCTCTCGATTGCATCTTATAGTCCCTGGTGCCCCCCTGGTGACAGTAACATCGGACAAGGCAAATAAATTAAAGACCCTTGTTTCCATCGGTGTTCAATTCATTCCTACAACATACGAATGCGATATAGGTAAGCTGACCCCGAAAACAGCTGAGACCCGGGGCATATCGTTTCCAGACACTCCACTATTCAATCATTCTCGGCCTCTCGTCTCAATATGCCGCATTTGAGAGAGAAGTTGACACGAGTAAGATGACTGACCTAGCGTGTACATGCTTGCCCTACGGTGTACGATTTGAATCCGGGCCGTCTGCGAGAGGTCCATTTCCTGTACTCACTAAGCACATTGGAATTTACTTTTTCTAAATAAAAAAAAAGAACCACTAAAATGCATGATCAGCACGGGAACCGAAATATCATGGTGATGTGAGATTGTCATGCATGCTATAAAGAGTGTGATGGAGATCACTAGTGGCTGCTAGTTAGCTCAGTCTCCAAAACATTTCACCGATGCATTCTCTTCCAAATACCCTGAAGTCTGAATTTGACTCGCGATGGAAGCCAGCTATTGCAACAGTCAGTCTCGGAGCTGCGCATTTACATCCCATCTTTGCCAAACTTGATGCTGCCGCTCTCAACGGCCAACAGGGACTTGAACTCTTTCATGACGATGTCGCGCAGCTTGCCAAGACCCTTCGCGCCCACGCAATTGACAGTGCACCCCGCACTGATCGAGACTACGAGGTCGACGCAGCGCACGCTATCCGAGGTCTATCTGCTGAGCGTGACCTGCAGGTTATAGCTCTCCAACCTTTCCGACACTATGAAGGTCTCATTAATCCAGAAAGACATGCGGAACGTATCGACGAACTCAAGCATTGGGTGCAATTATGCAAGATTCTTGGAGACTCACTCTTCATCCTGATCCCATCATCTTTCCTAGACGCTTCCGAAATCACCTCCGACCGAGAGCGTCTCGCAGCCGACCTGGCCGAGGCCGCAGATGTAGCATTCCCCGTACGTATTGCATACGAGGCCCTGGCATGGGGAACGTATATCAACACCTGGGAAGACTCATGGGATGTGATCAAGCGGGCCAATCGACCCAATCTCGGCATATGCCTTGATACATTCAACATAGCAGCGCGAGTGTGGGCCGATCCCACTGCCGCAACAGGGCGACTTGGCCCAAGCGCAGACCAAGATCTGCGGAAATCGATGGACCGGCTTGTACGGGAGATTGATCCGGACCGAGTACTGATGGTCCAACTTGCCGACGGGGAGCGGGTCGACCCACAAACGCCCTTTCTTCACGCATCGGGCCTGCCCACTCTCCTAGCCTGGTCGCGGAATGCGCGTCTGTTTCCGTGTGAAGAGGATCGGGGCGGATACCTTCCGATTCGCGAGGTGACGGATGCCTGCATTAACGGTTTGGGTTATACCGGGTGGGTCAGTATGGAAGTCTTCTCGAGATCCACCGCGGAAGAGAACCCGGCCGTGCCGTTAGAGCATGCTGCCCGCGCTAGTCGGTCCTGGCTACGGGTCCTGGAATTGTTGGAAGAGAAGTCGGAGAAGGGATCCACCTAGGTCTTGCAAGGCTTCAAGATCAGCGCATTTTTTCTCAGTCAGTGTTATTCTGCATTTTTTTGGTTCATGAATGGAACACCGGCTGCATTCAACCGACAGAGGAATGATAGTCTAGATGATACAATGAGCAAGCGTCTTGCAATCACTTTTTACGAATCCTTGACTAGAAATTGTAGACTGGTTCTTAACGTCGATAAACTGCAGTCATGCTCGATGCCTACATACATACCCTCCTAGGTTCCGTATGATCCACACGTCTCAGATCTCAGGAGTGCTCGATCTAAATGGAGCACTAATCGTTCCAGAGACAGTAGGAGTTGCATGCCAAACCATCGGGTGCATCCACTTCTAGCGGAACGCCACAGGGTCATTCCCGATACCTGGAATGTTATGCCTAGGTCTGTATTTTGAGACCTCCCAAGGCAAGACAAGAAAATTAAAAATAAAGTTGGAATGATCCACATAAAACCGATCGCACGGGTCAACATTCTTCAGTTACCTCGGTATACCCTTAATACCAGATATAGACCAAAACTCCACAGGCATTCCCGGCTTCCCGGATGCTTCTCCCGGCCCGCTCCCGATCCAAGTTTTGAATGACTTCCAATGTTCCTAGACACACCTTCCGTCTGAGATAGCTTCGATGATTTAGGTCATTATTCAGTTGAGCCATCTTCCAGGGTGGTATCTCCCCGTTTTGGCACTCCTTGGTGTCATCCCCTTAGCTAGGGGTGCAAGGGGACTTCTCCTACAACATACGCATTCAAGTGAGACATTGCTGAGCCTGTCCCTTTGCTCTGGGCTGTCTGGAATGGTCTTAGTCCGATTTAGCACCGGTAGAAGAGTAAGACTGTTGTACGTTACGATGAAGGAGTTCAACAACCTTGGGATATATTTGTTGGCCAATGAAACATAGACCGAAACACTCTATCGGGGCGTATCTGACCGCAGTGCTTTGTGTAGCCTTTACTTATCACACCCAAGCTGTTCCAGACTGAAGGCTAACGTTCACCGCTGTCCTCAGTTATACTGACTTATACGGTGGGTTTCGGAGTGCCAGCGCATGAACTAGAACTAGTAATATTCATTCAGGTGATGTTACAACTAATTATCACTGCGATAGTCTGTCATAAAATTACTTTTCTATCCGGTGACAGGTAGGAATCTTTTTGGCCTTTCCTAACGGGATTTTAATTCCAACTGAGGCGTATGTGTCTCGGGCAGCTCTGCTGCGTAACAATTGCCGCTGGTCGCGATTGAAATTCCACTCCGAAGATGGAGAAGAATGCAGGATGCATGCACTTGGTTAAAGCTAGACAGGGGAATAATCCCCAAAAGTTGGACTTTTTGCCACTAGCGAGGGAGCTAGTTGGTAGCCTGAGCCACAATAGACAACGTAGTCCAATCTCGACGTTAACGGAACGCCACTGTTGAATCTCGGTGAATGAAATCTCTAATTTCAAGCTGAGTGTTTGCTGGTGACACAGACAAGTCACTCTGCGAACCAGTCCTTGTGCATTGACATTGCGTTGTTGTACATAGAGTATGTGCATGATTATTCCCGAGATGTGATTCCCTCAAATCCCAACTATTCAATATGCGCCCCGATGACTCGTGTTGGCATCTGCATAACTATCACAGCATGGTAGCTGACCCTGTTTGTTTGCTACTGGGCTGATCCCGTGTGATATGTATATCCTTCTCCCGATGCAGAAACACTTTCTTTTGCCGGGCATCCCGAATGCAGTCAGTACAGGCTAATCTGGGAATATGGGTCAGTAAAGCGGTCTAACCCAGCACCCATCTCTTAAATACAGCTTGACCCTCAATATCGCACTGAAATTACCAAGCTGCTGGGGTACCTTTCCTCTCGTTCTAGATACTTCTATACTCAATAATGGGTATCCAACGTGGGAGTCAGGTAGCACAGGCTGGTCCCTCTAGCACTATCAACCCGTTGGTGCAGGAGTTTGGATCACTTCGAGTCCTTGACGACTTGATTCGTTTACGAGCTGCTGATATCGTTCAATATCCCATTCTTGCCTATCCCCGTTTCGAAAATGATGCTGCTTCTTATAAATACTACACCGGGAAACACTTGGATGCTATGATAAACCAAGCTGTCATTATGCTCATGGACGATGGGTTCAAACAGGTTGGTCACGAATTGCGCTACGTGGCGTCAACTCTCTAACAAATCAATGGTTAGGCAACGCGAAGTTCATCCATCGTGGCACTTCTTACTTTGTCCGACCTTAATATGGTGATCACCTTTTTTGCCCTAAGTCGACTGGGGTATACTGTCATGATGCTCTCACCGAGACTTTCGAGTGAAGCCTGCGTGTCATTGCTAGAAACGGTCAATTGCGAGTCAATCATGTACGGTCCATCTCCTAACATCCGCTCAACATTGGGCGAGATCCTTTGCCGGAAGCTGGTGACCTGTCGGCCAATGCTCTCGTGCTCTTCCTACAACAAACTACAATCGCAGTCACTTGTTCTGCATCGCAATCGAAACCCGGAGAAGGTCGCCTTGATCCTTCATTCCTCGGGATCAACAGGCACCCCAAAACCGCTCTTCCTCACACACAGAGCAATCATGACTCACCCGCTGAGAGGTCCTGGGTTTACCTCTTTTAATACCCTGCCATGGTATCATCTCCATGGGCTGTCCACCGCATTGCAGGCAATGTGGATGAGAAAAACAGCCTATTTGTGGAACGCTGCCCTGCCGCTAACTGCAGAGCTTGTTGCTAAAGCCCTGGAAGAAGCCAGACCGGAGTCAGTGGCAGCGGTCCCATATATGCTCCAACTTTTGATTGATGATCCCCGCGGTATCAAATTGTTAAGGCAATGCAAGTTGGTTACCTATGGAGGTGCACCTTGTCCGGACGAGCTGGGAGATCGCCTAGTGAACGAAGGAGTACACTTTGGAGGATCATTCGGCCTGTAAGTACTATTCTGCAGATACCTACAGTCATGCAAAGACTAACAGATCTCAGCACCGAGGCTGGTCTTGTTGCGGAATCAATCTCACGACCAAAAGGCGATCCTTATTGGAACTATCTGAAATTCTTTGACAATATCCGATCATATGTCTGGATGAAGCCCATCTCTGAACCAGATTCGCTCTTTGAGTGCGTTTATCTTGCCGGTCATCCAGCACTAACAACCTCAAATTCAAATGAGCCGCCAGGATCCTTCCATTCGAAAGACGTGTTCACCCCTCATCCTACAATTGTGGGAAGGTGGAAATACATCTCACGGTTGGACGATCGAATCAATCTAGTGAATGGTGAAAAGGTTTTACCACTCCCGATT